TGCACCTTGTCAGTAAACGCTGGTTTTCAGTACTCACAGATTGTGAAATATATATGGTGTATGTCGCTAAAAAATATAGCCAATTAAATAATTTGGCTTTTCGGGATCATGACTCTTCTTTAATATTTACAACCTAAGCTATTAAAGCCGAAATGCCTTTGGTCTTCCCCACTCCGCTCTTGTCACACCATAAAGCCGAGAAGAATGGGGGCGATGAAGCAACGCCCTCCTATACGGACCGAGAACGGCCTGTTTTATGGAGGGCTGGCCTCCAAATGTGGATGCACATTTTAAACATCATAAAACTGAGTATTTGTTGAAAGAAATTTATGAGTATCCATCTGGATGAATCCTTTTGCAAAGCAAAAATTTCTATGTAAGTCATATTTTTTATATTATAAATCTAATTATTACAAAACTAGAGTAACTTCCCTATAACATTAAGAAAATATAAAAAGGTTCGCACGCTTTGGCCGCGATGGTGGGTTTTCTGTGCCCACTGGAGGGGACGGGCACCCAGGCCGGCGGCCGGACGTTGGCCTGCGCGTGCCTGCAAGGGCACGTGTGGGCGGATAAGGTTGGGATCGGCGCGCTGAGCAGGGCAGCTGGGGGCCACCCTGCCGAGAGGGCCCCATCCGGGCAGCGGAAGGCCTCCCGGGAATAAAAAGAAGTCCCTCCTGCCCAACGGCTTCCTATCAGGACCGGGTTCCCGCCCCCCGCCCTCAGACTGAAGCTGCAACACGGGCCTTGGAACTGGAGCCGCGCCATCGCCCTCGTGGCTCTCAGACCTTCCGGCGCGGCCTGGGGCTGAGCTGCGGACCGCAGCTCCCGGGCCGTGGGCCTCTGCCGTAACGTCAGACAACCCCTTCTGGGTAAATCTATCTATCCTCGGCCTACCTACCTACGTGTGTGTCTTATTGGTTCTGCTTCTCTGGAGAACCCTGACTAATAAATGCACTAGCTAACAAAGCTACACTGATATTAATGACATTAATAATAATACAGCTTATACGAATATAATGAATTCTGCTCAAACAAAATCTTACATAAACACTGAAGTCCCTGTCATTTTAACAGTTAATCTAATTGCAAAGATGGTAAGTTTTGGTATATACAACTACATTAGAACCTCATTTTCCTTGTCTAATTCTGAATGATAAACGTAGAATAACGTAGAGGTGAGTTCAGGGATTTTTGGTACGTAGTGCATTAGATGGGGGGACGGGAAAAGGAGGGACTCATTATTTAATGGGCCCTGAATACTTGGCTGCACGAGTTAATAAGAACTCTTTACAAGGAAAAAAAAAATCAAACCATTGTGAATAATATATAAAAGATTAATATTTTATATTGCAGAGTTGTAGGTATAAGGAAAATAATACAGAATATGCACACAAGCATTGCTTATGAAGTAGAAAACCTTTGTAACTCTTCCCAATCTGCTTCTAATAAATACAGGGCATAGCCGATATCCACTTCATGAAAATGTATTGTAAAAGCGATAATAGCACGACAAATCTCTGCCGAACAATGCTACCATAGGCTTCTCTTATTACTAAATTTGTTCTGTGGAAATGTGAAGTCTTTTTAAGCTAGCTAAATTCAAGTTGCACCATTCTTAAGATGAGTAAAACCTGTATATATGTAAGGGTCAAGTATTTATTTATAAATTCCGCAAAGTTCCTTTCAGTTAAAACACATAAATAAACACACACAAGTCCATACACACATATATTTTCCTCAATAAAATATGTATCCTATTATTGCTGCAACTCCTTAATTTATTGTGTAACCCATGACGACAAGCCTTGTGTTATATAAGGTGACCTCTGAGGCGCGGAGTAACTGTCTAACGATGGCGACCACCAAGACGAGGACACTAATCAAGGCTAACATTTATATAGAGCAGCGACTTTCAGCCTGCGTGCCGCAAAAATTCTTAAAGCATGCAACACCTGGCTATTTAGTCAGGAGCACTGACTCCTTTTCCCTTAGATGTCAAATCAAAAAATGACAACAGCCAACAGAACAATAGCTCTCTGGTGGGAGTGAATCAAAATTATACCTGTTTTTTCGTCAGATCAGCAAAAAAAAAAATAATAATACAGGTTTTTGGTGTGCCATAGGATTTTAGTAATTACTTTATGTGCATCGTGAGATGAAGAAGGTTGGAAATCAATGGTAGAGCGTTTACTATATGTTATGCTTTGTTCTAAAAGCTTTACAGAAATTACCCAATTTAGCCCTCACAAAATTCCAGTGAGATAGGTTCTATTATTATTCCTGTTTTACAAATGAGCAAACTGAAACACAGGGAGGCCGGGCTCTCTAAGGAGGTAAGGCACATTGGAAACATCGTTTGCCTTCATCTGCAACATTAAAGCCTAGACACTCCCCAGACGCCGGCGTTATGTTACCAAGACATAAGCCCCAGAGACCGCCACCCACACACTTAGAAATGCAGCCTCTGTAACACGGAGGGCGCCCGGGACGCAGTGCTCAGAAAGTCAGGATTGTCGCACGGGTCACGGCCACAGACCGCGGGCCCCGCCCCCGCGGTGCCTGGCTCTCCTTCCTCCCTCACCGCCACGCCCGGGCCTCATGCTCCTGGACGGGAGTCTTGAAGGCCACCAGGTCCCCACTGCTGTCCCCAGGTCCCAAGGCCCTTGCCTTCCTCTTCCTCCTCCATCTTCCCACAGGCTTCCGTACCAGCGGGAATCCTCTTCTAGAATATCCTCAGAAGAGCCAGCCTGAGGACGATGCCTCCCCCGCGGGCCCCTCCCCGTGGCCCCTGACGAGGGACAGCTCCTGCTCCTGCCCAGGACACTGACCTCCGCGGAGGGCACCCACAGACAGGAGCCCTGCGGAGCTGCAGGGCTCAGGGGGATTCTTTACAGAGAAGAAACACCAGCCCACCGTGGGTGAAATGGGAAGAACAGGGGTCCACAGCGAGCCCCGGGGCTCCACGCCTGGGTTCTCACCCCGCCGACAGGCCCAGGTCGCTCTCCCGGGCGCACCACCCTCCCCAAGTGCAGAAGTCCCTCGTCCCCCACAGTCAGACAGAGTCTGAGTCCCCGCTCTCCCCACACAGGCAACCCCCAGGCCAAGTCAGCCTAGACCCCGCACGTGCAGCTCCAAGCCCCTTCGCGCCCCGTCTCCATCTCCCCCTTCCAGGGCTCTGGGCCGCCCAGCTCGGCCCGCGCGCTCCATGCAGGCTCCCCAGCCCTGAGGCGCTGCTCCAGCTCCGCCTCCCCCAGGAAGCCCTCCTCGGGACTTCCGCTGGGACCTGCTTTCTCCACCCTCATGACTTCCTCACACTGGTGTTTCCACGTGAGGACCGCGGGCTCGCGGTACGGCTACCGGGCTAGACCAGGGAGGCTGCAGATGGTTTCCTCCGGTGCCGCGGGTTCAGCCTCCTACCTCCGCTTCGACCTCCCACATCAAGGGCTGTCTCCATAAAGGCACTGATGGCTTTCGCCTGTGTTTGGGGTCCTCCACTGGACGTGTTCATGAAGGGGGGCAAACTATAGAACCTAAATCAATAAATATTTTACACACATATGTTTATAGAAATCAGTCCCCTGCAGCAATTAGTCTAACCCTGGGCTCGATCGGGAGAGCTGAGGAGCTTTTAGGACCCAAAACACCAACCTTTCTGGTAACAGAAAACATTTGTTTGAGGGGCCGTTTTAAAATCATTTACTTGTGAAGGAAACATTCTTGGATTTAGAGGTTGGCAGGTACAGTAAAAGCTTTTTAGTTCACAGAAATAAAAAAAATCAAAACACTTTTTAGCAGAGGCACTTCCCTTATAAAAAGCAATCGCCTGCAAGCTCCGCACAGCAGTGGGCACACAGAGGACAGGGCCTCCCCCATGCGGGAGGGGCTCTGGAAAGCGGGCGGTTTGCATTTCTGCGGCTTCCTTTGTGACCCCTCCTTCTGAAAGCTTTTCACTGAGCAGCTAATACCTGGGGGGCGGCAGGGAGACAGGGATGGGACGGCAATACCAGGAGGGACACCAGAGCCCCAGAGCCACAGCGGCAGCGGCTCCCTGTGCACGCAGCCCTGCACAGCTGTCCCCAGGAGCTCCCTCCATCTGGGCCGGGTAACAAGGGGGCAAAGTGTCTTTCAGCATCATCTGGACCCTCCCCAGGCAGCTTTCTGATTCTCCTGCTTTCACAAGGAATCACCTCCGTCCCTGCTGAACGGGGTTTGCTCCCTTCCACTGAGAGGGGGCGGCACAGTTTGTTCGTCCCCCAGCAAGGTCTCCCGTCCTTCCTCGGGAAAGCGCTGTTCCCAGTGACACCCTGACGAAGCAGCAGGGGCTTCTCTGGCGCCAGGCGCCACGCAGGCCGAGAGGAGGCGCGCACCGCCCGCCCGCCCGTCCGCCCACCTGCCCGGGGCCTGTTCTGGGGAAGCCTTGCGGAAGCGCTGGGAAATCCGGCGGCGCGGTGCACCTGTGCTGGCGGCAACCCCGCTGCGGAGCGCGGCCGCGGGGCGGGAACCCCTGGCTCGGGGGCCTGGGGCCTCGTGCCGCACCTTCCCCCGCCAGCCCAGGCCGCAGATGCCCCACTGCCCTCCAGGGGTCACACTTGGGTTACAAATCCCTGGCCGCCCAGCGAGTGAGCCGCCTGATTTGGAACAATGTATTCGAAGCCTTCCTCATTAAGATTCAAATGGAATAAGGAAGGTAGAAATGGAACAGACACCGCAGTCGTGCCTAGCTGCTCCGTAGTCAGTAAACATTTATTCACTCAGCCCGTTCCTGTGTTCTTGCCCTCTCTCACTCGCTGGGGTTGTTCTCCCGGTCCTTCCCGCGTGCTGTTTCAATGCATAATTAAGAAGGTCAGAATTAATGAAGCGGTGTGGAGTAAAGTTCAAGGAATCCCCAGGCACTATTTATTCTATTAGATCTCAGGCATGAGTGTCAGCTTGCCAGCGCGCTCCGCATAAGCGATGGGGCTGGCTGGGCCCCAGGGCCGGCGCCAAGGGGGACTCACCTGCACCACCAAGTCATCGCCGAGCTCCTTCCCCGCGAAAATCACCCGCAGCTGGTCAGCGGCAACCCCCTGTCGCTTAGCAACCGCCTCCTTGAGCTGGAAGATGCTGGTGGTGGGATCGACCTCCACTGGGAAACCGTGGCTGGAGTTGAACCTCACAAACACTGTCCGAGACAATTGGGAGGGAGAAAAAAAGCGAGCATTACTCACAGCCCGACCGGCAAAGGCAACATTTCCGAACAACTTACCGACTGCCCCCGGCCCTTCCAGGAACTGCAGACATCGTCTTTCACTGACGACTTAATGCTGCAGAGTAACATGTGGAGAAAAAAGGAGTTCCCATGTCCTACTAGTCAGTGACCCGCAAACTGAATTGTATGCTCCCCTTTGACATCTGTCCTGGGCAATGGGGACACGGAAGGAACCCCTGCTCCGTTGGAATGGTAAGGGTCCCATGAGTTTACCAGAGAGTCGCCTGTGACCATCACTATAAACACACGCTCCCCCCACGGGCTGTCGGGATGGAACTCACACACTCTGTGTGAGCGCTCAGGGCCCAGCAAGTCCACACTGGTCAGGGGCCGGCGCCGTGGCTTTACGCAAAGGGATGGATGACGAACTCAAGCCTACGAGGAACTAATATAAACAAGAGTGAAGCTCCTAAGGTGTCTCACCAATGTTGTCACAAGACAAGGCTACGTAAGGACCTGCTCGACAGTAGTGGGAAAAATTCAAGCCGCTGGACGGCCCGGAGCGAAGACCCGCCCACGGCGCTGTGTCTAAGGGCGGCCAGCGTTGGCGCAGCGGCCGGCCGGAAGGCTCCGCTGCGCCTGAGATGCGCGTCTGCCTTTTCTTTAGAAACCGGTGCCGCTGCTTCTGTCCTCGGGACTCCTCTCCTTCCCTGCAGGCACCCGCCGGGACCCCAGTCCTTCGCAGGCCCCTACTCACTGCTGGACGCCACACCACGTCTCCAGTGGCCGCGCACCGCCCTTCCTCCCCACCCCTCTGGTCGCTGCGCTCGGGGAGCTTCTTCCAGGCGTCCGCGGGGGCCTCCCAGTGAAGTCCTGGTCCGCTCTCTTCCCTCCCCCTCCCCAGAAGTCCCACACCATTCTGCCACGCGGCCCAGAGCTCAGACCAGTTCTTACAGTCCCCTCCTGTCTGCCGCTGGGGACAGGACTCCAGACCCCTCCCATCCGGCGCCAACCTGCACCCCCAGCCTTTCTCCGTTGGTCCCCACATGTCCTCTGCTACGTGTACCCTGGAAGCACAGCTCAGAAAACCCCTGGGCCACCTCCTGATGCCACTCATGCCACGCCCCCTCCACCACCTCCCCTGAGGGGAGCCATCCACCTCCCTGCTACGTCTCCAGTGTGACCCCCTCCAACTGCCTCTCACTACCGCCCCTCCGAGGCTGAGCTCTGCTCTGCAGGGCTCTGGGGACATGGGCCCCCAACACTGCCACATTCCCCCATGGGAGCAGCACTGTAGAAGTCGTCGGCACCCCCTGCAGAGTTGGGGGACCAGGGACCAATCCCTGCAGGTCCCTGGGCAGTGAGCAGCCTGGGGTGAACACGCCCTCCTCAACCGTCACTGCTTAGCTCCCGTCCCCAAAATGTTCTGCCTTTCAATGAGCCCCTGAGGGCGTCTGCTGTTTGCACTACCACACAGTAGTCTCCAAAAATCGTGCCTATTTGCATTTGCCTTGGATGTTCCGGGTAGACACTGGACCTCCTTTAGAAGATTACAAACTTCCCAAGGCCAGGCACGGCAGCCCATTGACTGCGGTGCCTCCCGGGAGTGTGGCCTGCCCCAGCCCCTCCCAGTTAGCGCGCGAGGTGTCTCCCTAGTGGTAAGTGTCCTAAAACAGCCATTACAATGCCCACAGCGGTCACGCACTTCTGATGTGACTGAAGCTGTGCCGTCCATACACTATGTCTAAGTGCCCCAACGATCAGCTAAGGTCAGGATCAATGTCCTTATTTTTTTCATGATGTAATAAAATGTACTAAGATTTATGGACTATTAAAGGATTCAAAAATATTTTTTGAAGACATAAACATTCCATACTCCAGAATTTAAGCTTTACCAGGGCAAGAATATTCACCCATTTTATTTAATAATGTCTCCCAAACATCTCCCAGGTAGTGAGAACACCGTGAAATTTTTTTATTGAACTTATTGGGATGACATTTGTTAATAAAATTATACAGCTCTCAGGGGTACAATTCTCAGCCATCACCTGTAGGTTGTACTGTGGGTTCACCGCCCCAGGTCAGGTCTCCTTCCTACTCCCCCTTTTAATAGAACAGTAAAAGGAGGCCTGGCCTTAGAGGGTGGGGGCCACTTTTCCCAGTGCAACAGCTACTTTTCGATGGATAAGATCTCCAATGCAGCTCCAATCTAACTCTAAAACCCCATCTCGTCTCTATTGTAATGGGCCGCCTAAAGTGTGCTCAGAAGAGAAATCCATATTCCTTTTCCTTGTGATAACAAGGAAGCAACAGCAAAAAGGCTCTATACCATCGTTCAGGTATTCCCCACACAGGTGAGCAGTAGAAAATAGGATGAGAAAAATAAAAGCTCCCTTGAGGAGCTGAGAGCAAGGAACATGGAACAGTGGCTATAAGACAGAATGAGATAAAAATGGCACCGGAATGAGAGCGGGCGGCAGGATGGTGCCGCAGAGCAGAAGCCTGGCGCGCGTTGCCAGCATGGGCCATATCTAGAAAAAATGAGGACGGGGAGTGACAAAAGTGCCCCAAATAAAGGAAATCGATGAAAAAAATTACAAAGGAAAAGGTGCTTTTGCTGTACTTGTAAGTCGACATCATGCGACACCTTTGAAAGCAGAGAAAGAATGTCTCGGGAGCCCCGAGGTCTCCCGCACGTCAGAGCCCGGGGGACAACGAACGCGTCAGGGAAGCTGGGACCCAGGGCCGGGAGGGGCACCGGGCCACGGTGATCTCGCCTTAAGCTCCACGTGAAAATGTACGTTCAAATCTCCCCTTACAATCTCAACAGCTATGGAAAACCCGGAAACCATGCCCTGCTGGCGGGGACGTAAAATGGTGCGTCCACGTGGGGAAGCGGCCTGGCAGCTCCTCCCACAGTGGAACACTGAGGCTCCGTGCGCCCCGGCCACTCGACTCCCAGGTATTCACCCGAGAGAAATGACGACACGTCCGCACGAAGGTGGGGGTGAAAGTTCACATCAGCATTATTCCTAATAGCTACAAGGTGGGCTCATGGGTAGGTGGCCACATGCCTACATGTGGGATCTGCAGACAACCAAGTACTTTATGGTCATTCAAAAGAGATGAGGTACTGATTCGCACCACAACAAGAATGAAACTTAAGGCACGAAGCCGGTTACAACTGACCACAAGCTGTGTGATTCCATTTATATTACGTGCCCAGGAGAGTCAAATGCATGCACATAGAAACTGCCGGGGGGACCCAAAAACCCAAAATTTATTTATAAAAAACTATGAGTTCATTCTTTCATGTTGAAACTTCAGTCACCTTCCAAGAACTCTCCATTTGATGTAATACGCCTATCGAGGCATTTTTTCCACTGCTCAGAACAGTGAACTCGTTGATTTCGATGCCTTTTAGTGCTCGATGTTTTTTGTTTCAACTTTTCCACATCGGCAAAACATTTCTCTTTGAGAGCTTTTTTCATCCGGGGAAACAAAAAAAATCTTTCGGGCTAGGATCGGTGAAGAGAGACAGTGGGGCATAGGGGTCATGCTGGTTTTGGTCAAAAGCTGCTGAGCACTCAGCGTGGTGTGGGCAGGTGGGCTCCTAAATCACCCGTCATCAAAAGGGCAAACACGTTGAAAGAGTCTTCAAAACAAATTCACCAAAGCTGAACGCAGCCTCTGACACCAACGCCAGCTGGCGCACTGATTCAGGTGGGTTCCGAGAGCACTCACCTAGTTGGGGAGCCTGTCCTACAAGGAGTCCACCCTCCAGAAGATAATTCTGTTTTTTGGGGGGCCCCCTTCCTGGGTTAGCAGTTGACTAGGGTGGCAGTGGAGCATGTCTGGGGAGAAATGGGAGTTTCTACTGAAGGGTGGAGGATTTCTTTTTGGGGTGATGAAATCTTCTGAAGCTAATTGTGATGATGGTCGCACAATTCTGTGTATATACTAAAAGTCATTGAGTTTTACACTTTAAATGGGTGAACTTTATAGTATGTGAGTTGTACCTTAGTAAAGCTCCTCATCCTAACGACCCCTCCCCAAATCTCTGTATGTCCATCACTTACTAAAGTCCTTGGCAAAAGGACAGTCAGTAAGTAATTTTGGAATAAGTGAATGAATGAATGAATGTGTGCTCATTTCACTTTAAATGGCTTTATTACAAAATTTGTACACATCATCTTTTGCATTTTTAGATATTTGTTTTTATAATGTGGTCAAATTTTGTTTTGAAATATCACACAGTTGCTGCACCTAATAGTGCATAAGGACCTAGAATAGTGCTAATGGTATTTTTAAAAATGAAGGGGACATCTATTTCAGCATTTAATATAGAAAACCTAATTTGCTCAAATTACTCACACTGTTCTAATTTCCATATGCTTTCAAGTACGAATAAGATTTAGACCAAATTGCTGGTGACATTAAAATTCATTCATTCATACTTTCAATGAATATTTATTGAATAAGTAACCATGTGCTAGGCCCCGTTCTAGAGATGTTAAAACACTGCAGTGTGATCTAGGTTTTATTCGATTTTGTACCACGTGCAGTGGACTGAATGCTTTGAGAACAGAGACGAGGGAGTGGTTAAAGGCTGGAGGAGTTCCGAGTGTTCCGGAGGTAGGAAAAAATTGATGGCAGATACAGAAAAACAGTGAAGAATGTCCAGATGGAGATTGTTTTTGGTTTTTTTTTTAAATCGCTCCAAATAGAAGTCACAGTTTACTAATCACTCTTTTAGGGAAAAAAACAAATCGTTTTGTTAGTCAGGGGCACATCGGTACTATAGGATGACGTATGTGCAGTCGCGGGCTGACGGCAGTAACCGTCTCAAAGAATTTTGAGGGCTCTGAAGGTGTTCCCTGAAACTTCTACCAGCCTGTTTTCTACTGCACCAAAGGACAAAATAAAGAACTCATCTTCCAATATTCAGACGACAAGATAACTAAAGAAAAATA